CTATGGACCCCGCTCCACGAGGAGCGTCCAACCCAGCAGATGTTGCCTCAGTGGGCCAGCAGCAAACACTGCCTGGTGGGGCTGATGCAGTGAAGAGGACTGGCATCACTCAGCATGTCCAGCTGCTCAGTCCATACACACATACACAACCAATTCTCCATATGCACCATTTGTAAAGTTCCCGTTTAGTTGCACTCAGCTCTTGGGTGGAGTTGGCAGCCTACAGAGCAGCACCTAATTTTTGATAATAACATCTTTTACACTTGATTTCACACCAAACTATGCAATTTTGAAGAAACAATTATATTTACAAACAGTGTGGACACATGGTTATGGTGAGGGTTAGATCCATCAGTGTGTAATGCACCAATCTGGGTCATCCTTTGTCTTTGTGGTGTCTACAGTGGTCTTAGCTGCAGAATAGATATGTTTTACTCTGATACATTTAATTAGACTTCACTGTTTGTACATGTATTTCAGACTATTTATTCTAATTAATAAACAAACTGTGAGGAGTGGTCATTGAATTGCAGGAAATCCACTTCAGTCTTAGACTCCAAATGTACCTCAAGTTCAAACTCACAAAACACTCGACTAACACTGACTACTTTGAAACTCTTAGTGGCAGCTTCTCTTTAACAAGGCACAGCCTTTAAGAGACATGTGTCAAGAGACTGTGCTTCACACTGTTAATTATATGCACTCTGTCCATTCCCCATCGACTTCTTTCTACAGTGACACTGCCTCTGTTCCCCTTTCCTTCTCCTTCCTCCCTCTGTCCTTCAGCAGTGACATGTGATTGGCTAGAGTCAAGCAGAAGGGCACATCAATGTGAATGCTGACTGTTGCTTGAGTGACCACAGGGAGTGTGTCTGTATGAGGATGGGGATGTTGTTGAGGCATGTTAGGATTACAGAGTGGATATGCTTCAAAACTCAACCACATCAGTATTTTGTTTTTGATGAAGTACATTATTAACATCCAGCCAGCTGGTAGAAAACATTATAACTGACACAGTTTAGTCATGATGACTGTATGGATTAAGTGTAGTATATGACATTATCAATTGTCTCCTTTTTTGAATAGATGTTGTAACACAGTGACCCCTTCCTAACTTTTGTCCCCTAGGTGATTAATGCCATTGAGCAGGACTACCGTCTGCCACCGCCCATGGACTGCCCCAGTGCCCTGCACCAGTTGATGCTGGACTGCTGGCAGAAAGACCGCAATGTACGACCTCGCTTCACAGACATCGTCAGCACCCTGGACAAGATGATCCGTAACCCCACCAGCCTCAAAGCTGTAGCCAACATCCCTGCAGTGTGAGTACAAACACTTGAAGTGGGCATAAAGGACACACAAATATGCTTTTCATCTGTTTACCCTTATAAAATAAAGATTAATTTATTGCATCAAACCTAAACTTTTCCTTCCCAGGATTTTATCCCCCTTCTGTCTCCCACCTATCCACTAACCCTGTGTTGGCTTTTTAAAACTAACTTTAATTGTACCTCATAATGACTGAGTGAAAGCTTTAAAGGCAAAGAAACAACTTTACATACATATTTTATATGTTTTATTATTTTGTAGAGGCATCATTGGCCTTGACGTGTTTTAAAATCTTACTACGTTCAACTTTCACATACCTTGTCTTAGACAGTTTCTCCCACTCTTCCTCAAAGATCTGTTTTGGTTGTGTGCTTTGGGTTTCTGCCATTGTGGAAGGTGAACATTTTGTGCAATGGAACATGTTTATGGTTTCTTTAATTGTCACTCTGTCTCTTAGAAGCATCTGCATAGCTTGCGTCATCATGGGACCAAGAAGGGAAGGTTTTTTTCCCCCCATGATACAAGAAAATTATTTTAAACTTGTTATAACAGGCAGGCAGATAGATAGAGGTAAAAAATTATAGGGTAAAAATACATTCTAAAGCCAGTACTCATATACTATGTGCACATTCTCAATCTTGCTTCCTCTTACACACACCCACGCAAACACCAGAACCACAGTTTCCCCCTCTTTAAATCCCCCTTGCTTAATATTGCATCAAAGCACTGCTCTATATCTCCTCTTATTTCCCCTTCTCTCCCTCTCTCTCCTTCTCTCCCAGGCCTTCTCAGCCACTGTTGGACAGATCCATACCTGACTTCAACACTTTTAGCTCAGTAGAGGACTGGCTTGCTGCCATCAAAATGAGCCAGTACAGAGACAACTTCCTCAACTCAGGCTTCACCTCCCTGCAGCTGGTGGCTCAAATGACCTCAGAGTGAGTTCACCTGCCTCTGTGCAAATTAAGAGCTCCAAACCCATATGGCACTCGATGGGCACAGTTCTATAAAATTACTCAACATCAAGTGCATGCATTTTTAGCATGAATGCCGCCAGTGATTCAGATCTTTCTGTGATTGCATGAAAGTAAAGCCTGTGTGCGTAATACATAAAAATATAACTCATTATGACAGAATGTAACATTTTGGTAAGACTGTTTCCATCTGTGCTTCTCAAGTATTATGATATAATAATTAAGCAAGTTCCATGAACAACTTTCCAAAGTGAATATGGATGCAATTTCCTTCAAAACAACATTTTAAGAGGCATTTTTTAAGGTGTTTCAAAGTACTGACAGCTTTCCTCATAGTGCCAAAAGACACAAATATTGTACTTATTTTAATTAACAATGTTGCTTGGTCTACAAATCTATATGAAAATGTAAAATCATTCTAACATTTTTTATTAAAAATATATGCTCGGGGCTTGTTGGCATCTATTCAATCTCTTTGCGATGCAAAGCAACATGCATTACTGAGTCTTCTCTGGATTGATAGAATCTTCTGTTCATTGCCACTAGCTTTCCATCCTGAAACTGTGCTTTCATATATAGTGATATTAGGACTGTACTGTAAATGCACCAGGAAATTATAGGTGTTTTTTGTCAGTATAATCGCTTCATACTCAAATGATCCATTCCATCTTCAGTATGATGGAAATCCTTTCATCTGTTGCTTCAGAATATATTCTTGCATTTCAGTTTTCTCTCTCTGCCTCTTTCTCTCTAGGGACTTGCTGAGAATAGGGGTGACCCTGGCAGGACACCAGAAGAAGATCCTCAGTAATATCCAGTCCATGAGGGTGCAGATGAGCCAGTCACCCACAACAATGGCATGACTACAGGGGGCGCTGTGCCATGGAATGGGCAGCATTCGCAGGACCAACAACAACTGCAGCCCTCGAATGACCCCCGATCCATCGGAACGCGCCAGAGTCGAGACTATTGTCTTAATTTAATCCACTACCATAACAAGAGGAGACCAGGGTCTACACTACTACATGGTTAACAACTGTCACACGTCAAACAATCCATGTCAGGAGTTCAGGGTCCAGACTTGATTTTGTTTCTTCATGTATCCACAAAAGGAAAGACAGAAATCAGTTCATGTAGTTATGAGCTGCCATTCATGTCATAGTGAACCAAAATAATTCCAACAGCCAGACATAGTTGCAGGTAATCTCTCATAATTTGTAATGTAAAATGAGTGATACTGTACTTCTATATTACCTGGACTAGAAGATGTTAAAACTGTAAACAGAATTGTGAGACCTTTAGAAACAACTTGTGACCTGTGATTTTACCCATACCTTCATCGAGTGTGTGCAATGAAGATGCCTTGACCTGGCCAGAAATAAGACCCAGAAGAAAAAGCAATTACCAGTAGGAATACTTAGAGGGGGAAAAACACAGGGATGTACAGCAAAGCAACGTTTACACACCGTCTTTTGCTTGTTTGAAGAATCTGATAAAAAGTATCGTAAATGGAGTGGTGAAGAATTCAGAGCTTACTTAAATTAGTGTATTCTTCCATCTGTTTGTTTGTTTTATCGCTATAGCAAGATGCCACCCATCTGTATTTTAACTTTAACACTACCTGTGGAGTCCAGGGTGGAAGGCCTTGCCAAAGGACTTCTTAGCCAGCCCCACCCAGATTCAGAGAATATTAATATGTTTATCTCTTTCTAAATATGATTATATCTTTCATAATAAACCTTCATATTGAAGGTGATATGTATGAATATGTATGTAAAGAACTCTCTGCTTGCATTTTTGGCAAAGACGTTTGTTGACTAGATTGTGATGCACATGCAATTTGTAGATTGCTACGGTGCCCTGGTTCCCTTTGGACGACTAGATGACAGACTCCGGGTTATATGTCTCCCTGTTCCAGGGGCACAAGGACAATCCTGACTGAATCCTAACCCAAGGGAAATATAAAGGAATCATAGGCTAAGAATTGGTATTGTAGATCTATATGAAAGTTGCTGTAGGAGTTAAAATAATTGATAAAATATCCATTTATTGGAGATCATGTTAAATGTGGGTGTACACATACTGTCTCTTGCTGGTGAGCACTTAATTGTACAGATATGTTTTATGTTTTATTTTCTGTTTAATCTGTTGCTGTTTGTGTTGGGAGTGCTGAGCACCATCCAGAGGGGAAGGAAACTCCACGCCTTGGCCAGCCCAAATTGCTGGTAAGTACCTGCAGATCAGACAAAAGAAAAGGCAAAGAAAAAACAACATGGTAGATTTTATTTCAGTTAAATCCAGTAAGTCTTTATCATGGGCACTGTAAATATCTTGGCCAAAGCAAGATTTGCTGAAAGGCTGAAATGCATGGGAGAGTAGCTAATCAAGGCACTGGAAGTCAGAGTGAATCAGCATCACTTCTCCAGACCGTGAAAATCAACATCTAGGGTGAGGTTTTCCAGGAGTCGCACGATGCCATTTGGATGAACATGCAGACTAAAACAGCCCACATGTGCACATTGCTCACAGTGTAAAAAGGCCTCCCATAAACTACTGTAGCTAAACTGCTAAGTAAATCTATGCAGTCTCACTATATGCTTCTGCCCTGTGGGTTGAAAATAAATGCCAAGGTACCTAAGGGAGTTTCACACATATGTCAGTCTCTGCATAAGTCCTAGCTATAGGAACTGGTGTTTGGAAATCTACTCTGGATGTACTGGATTGTTAGACATCTGTTTTATTCCCAAGGGATGCCATGGATATCTTCTATGAAATTACACTGCAGCATTTTGGAGTATATTTTGAAGATTCTTCTAGATAGTGCACAAGGATTATTTCTCTTTTGTTAGTCTGGGGCTGGTGCTTTGTGATTGCAGTGTGATTAGACTGCAGTGTGATGGTGCTTCATAACAAGTTGCTGTGGTTTTGCTGTTATCCTTACCCTTTCTTGCTGCTCACTTGCTTTCAGGCTTTGGGAAAGCAAAGAGACACTGTTGTTGTATTTTACAAATCAAGTTGTGTCAAGTATTAATGAAAGAGTTAGCAGCACTGGCTTTTAAAATTAATTGACCTCAGTGTTGCTGTACAGCCATGGCAGCGAAATTAGCTCAGCTCACTGACAATTCTCCTGAGCTACTGTAGTATCAATTCTTCGCAGTAGTTGTAACCCTGCTGAAATCCCTTTTGGCTCCATCTGAAGAGACATGAATGACAGCAGTTCTAACCACCTTGCATCCAAAATTAGAAATTGATGGCAGGCCCATTAGCGCATTATTAAGTATACTTACCCCCCTTAAGTCATTCTCCTCCCACTCTTCTGCCTGTCCTGCCCTCTCTCCCTGGCTACTCCCGCTGGCTGGCAGACCTCCAGCTCATTTATCCTGCATATACTCAAGCTGTCCTGGGCCGGAGCTGTTGCTGGGCTAGAGCTAGCCTGAGAAATGGTTGACTGCATGCTCTAGTGGGCCCAGGCAGGGGTGCAAACACCTGATGGGGACCCCAATCTGACAGGAACCTGATCAGCCAGGGAGGGAGACTGATGGGACCATCAAAAATAAGGACACACACACATAAACACGCGGCAGAACCTTTGATTATGTTATTCTCGCATCTGGTTTCCAGCCTGATGCTTAATGAAGAGAAAGTGGGCTGAGACCCAACAGAGTGTGCACATATGAGATAGAGGGGGATGAGTCAGTTTACGAGAGGGTGGGGTTGTGGAGCAATAGCTGCATAAAGAGGGGATGGTTAGATTAAAGTTAGAAAGTTCATTGAAGTGAATCAGCCCCTTTCATCTTGCAGCATGGTTTATGTGGCAACATCTCTTTCATTATATAAATGTTAATTTCCTTGGTTTAGTTTAGTAATGGAAAATACTGCAATCAAGCAACTGGTTTGCCTCATGGGCCAAATCAATTGCTGTTTCTATTCAATTCTCTAAGTCATTGATTTACCAAGTAATCCTAAATATAATCATATGCTCATCAAGATTGGCATGAATCCTTTTCACTAAAGCCACAGATTCAATTTGAATGCATTAGTCCTCTATTGAGCTCAGTCTTGTGCACTATTTGCTTTTCAACCCAAAAACCTGTAAATGAGATGATAGAATGTATTCATTATGCAACAGTTTAATTTCCCCCCATTTTTTCTGTTTGTCTTTCTCAATATCTGACTGTAATGACACTCCAGTGTGATGAATGGAGAGGCGGTGTGCTATCCCTGTCGGAGACCCATTTCATATGAAAGCCATTCATCAAACACTGATACAAAACACATGAACAGAGCTTGCTAAATGTTTCATGCTGCTGCAACTTCTGAGAAGTGACCAATGACCATTTTAGTAGCTGATTTCATGCCTATCATTTATAGGTCAGAACAGCAGAAGCCATGTTCAGACCTGACGTGACTCCCAGCACAACTAAACTTATTAAATTACTCCATTGTCTTTTTTCTTCTGTTTCAGACTGTGGCCTCAAATTACTTACACTCACATAAAACACCATATACACAGTTCTTTGTGTTCACACATTCTTGCACGGACACAGAGTGAACACTATGAAGAATTGCTGTCAGCAGCCAATGAGGTGAAAGACCAGGTGAAATGGGACCTTTTCAGGATACCAGTCACAACCTTCAGTTACGGTACACAATGGATGGTGGAGCTGAATATGGGTGTGCACATGTTATAGTTTGTTTATTTGTGTTTGTGTGTGTGTGTGTGTGTGTGAGAGAGAGAGAGAGAGAGAGACTGATTGTGTGTGCATAGAGGGCACATTTGTGTGTACAGCTGTTTATGTGCGCACAGGTAGATTGTTTAAGAGCGTGAACGGTTTCCTTTGTTTTGTTTCTGTATAGCTACCACTTGTAAATTGTGACAAGTATGTGTCAAGAGTTTGTAAGATGTAACTTTCTGAGAACTATTGTACTAAAATGCACTCAATAAAAGCCTTGAAAAACAAGTCAATCACTTTGTGGTCTGTGACTCAATGGGCAATAATTCTGTTTTCATTAATAGTGAGTCAAGAAAGGGGAGAGGAAGGTTATTATCCAGTGACACTACTGTCAGCGTTGTGTGCAAGTGTCACATCTAATGCTTGGTTTCATAATGGCTAAGGAAATAAACAGCTTTTTGTCACTGCCAGTCTGGCTGGCAGCACGTGTTAAAAGCCATCAGCCACTAATAAACAAGTCATCACTCGGATTACACACAAACCGAAAAATGGCTCTCCAAGAAAGTGACAGTTTTAACAAACTGAAACTCTTATCTGGGGTTCAAACACACACAAGCATTTACAGTAGTCATGTTTAAAAGCAATTCACACACCAGAAAGTGCACTGCATGCAAATGATATGGTTACTAACGTGAGTTGAATGGTATGATGATATATACAACTCTGAGCATTCCTCCATAACTGTTTATAACTCCCAGTACCCCCCCCTGTCTTTATTTATTTATTGCGTGTGTACATTCATTTTATACTTTTATACCCACCCCTATAATATGTTCTATGTTATAATGTAATGTTCTGTCTTCAATGTCCTGTCCTGAAAAAAAAAAAAAAAGTCAGTGATGGCAAGGATAGAAACGGTCAGACAGTCTTGGAGGTTTTAAACAAACACAAAACACAACACAAAATGTAACTGTAATTGTAACTGTCCATTGTAGTTTACAGACGACCTCTTGATTCTAAATTTATGGGCTCGATTTACAGGGTCACAAAGATTTTTAGCTTGTAAACTTGTAACTTGTAAAACCATTTCTGAAACACCACAAATTATGTTACATGAAGACATTAAATTACTAAGCATGCTTGTGACCATCTGTGTACAGATAGAAAGTAGAAAATTGGACTAAAACTCAAGTTACCAGTAGAGTAGGACTCATAAATTATAGGAATTCTAATCTCTGTTTTTTTTTTTTTTACACCCAAATTTGATTGGACAATGACAATCCAATCACAGAGCAGGGTTAAATTGTCCAATCAGAGAGCAGAGTTGAATCCTTCAGGTCCTAACTTTCATTAAGGGTTTCTGCTGCTCAGGTGTGTAGCATTAATAGAAACTTACCTATGCAGGTGCTTTGCTTTCATTTCAAGGCAGCTTAACTCAGTTGGTTCTGTTTTATCTGGCATTATCCAGAACTGAATGTTAATGTAACACGTTAGCAAACCTCAGCTAGCAAAAAACATCTCAAGGGTAAGTTTGCTGTTTGTTCGTTTGTTTGTCTTGAGCTTGTTCGCTATCAGGCTAATCGTTAAACCGGTTTAATTGAGGGAAAATTGAAATGACTTATAAATTATCCCCTGTTGGGTCCACAGTCCATTAATGTAATTTAATTAACGTAGGGATAGCTCAAAATGAAGATAGCTGTTTGTGTATTTGTTGCAGGGCGGTGGCAAACAGAGTTCAACACAACACCACTGTCTTTCTGTAGCTACACAGCTCCAACAGGGTGAGACACCATCTCTAGCAAAACCAGCAGCTGATTTCAAAGCAGTTCAGCAGTGTAACAGATAGCATCGGTTGCCTATTCCACAAGATGATGTATGTGCAAATGATCATGAAAATTTGTACTCTGCCCAACTTTTGTGCAGATTACATAAGAAACTCTGCCTACCACTTCAAAGTTGTCTATTGGCAAAAAGTTACTTATGTACTGGAAGAAAAAAGATACACCTCCGTTAAAGTTGTGGCTTAGTAATCTTACAAATACACTTTGCCTTGAAAGAATGAGGTACACTCTCTGACAGACTTCCCTTTTTCAATAAACTCTGGATGCCTCTTTCCAATTTTCTTACATCTACAGTTAATAACTAATCAGACTTGTATGTGGCAACTGGGGGCATGGGAGGGGGGATGGATATGTTTTGCTTCACGATGTTCTATTGTTTTATTTTTGTTTTTGTTACTTGTAGAATTGAAAATAGAGCAAGAAAAGATTTCTTTATACTTCATGCTTGTACAATATAAACCTTGCTCAATAAAAACTTGATGAAAAAATGTCTATTGGCTATAATTTTTAGTTGTGCCAAAACCCAAAGTGTTGCCACATTGGTGAAATGGTACCTCTTTACAGTGGTGGATGAAGTACTTTCTTTCTTCTTTAAATAAGTAAAAGTAGCAATGCAACAGTGCAAGAATACTCTGTTACAGCCAAATTCCTGCATTCAAAATGTTACTCAGTAGTGCATAAGTATTGGCATCAATATATATTTTAAGTACTCAAAGTAAAACTAATCATGCAGAATTGTGCATTTCACATTAATTTTACTGATGCATTATTGTGTACATCGCTTTCAAGATGCAGTTATAATTTTAACTTCTGAGTAGCTTGTAAATTTCCCACCAGAGGTTAACAAATTCTTATGATGAGGCTTTTCTTTTATTCCTGTGATTCTGGAAAGTATCTAGGAACTCAAGTTGCAGTATCAAATGCATGTAGTGGAGTAAAAAAGTATGGTATGAAGAAGCAGAAAATGAAAATAACCAGGTAAAGCAAAGATACAGCACCTCAGTTGCACTTTAAGCATTAAATATTGTATAGTTATTTTCTACCACTGCCTTTTTTTTTTGCAGCCAAGTTTGTTGACACATTATTACATCACTGACTAGTAAGAATAGGCTGAAGGAAAGACCAGGGGAGGAGGGGCTGTGAATAGATTCAGAATTGCAAAAGACAAATATAAATTAATGAAAAATGGTCATTAAAACCCACATTTAACCTCAGTGGGCATCATAATCTGAGAGGCCATATGATAGCCCTTCAATTTGCGTTTAGTTAGTAAGAGGTGCCCCCCCACCCCCGCATTCATGATTTTTATTAAAAGTTAGTTTGTTCAGGTTTCTCTTCCTGTGATCAGAGACACTGTTATAACTAGGACATTATTATAGGACTAATGCTTTCTTTCAATATATTTTCCAATAGGTCATAGAATGGTGAACTCAGGGAATTGTGCCACACGGTGCAGTGGACAAGAGTATGGGATTCCATGCGCTGTGTAGTCTTGGGTGTGTTGTACGGACTCGCTGTGTTCCGGGCCCCCGTCACTCCTACACCACGCTCAAGTCGACCACGTGAGAAACATTTTTAAATTGTAGTTCTTCGAGTGGGTGATGCATTGTCCCATTGACAAGTTCAGGTAAAACTCTTGTTTTTTTTTTTTCCCTGACTCAGTTCAAAAGTGACAAATTTAGATAAACTTATTACAGCTGCATGCAATTGATTCTTTGTTCAAATCTGCTCCCTCAATATTGCTTTATTAAAAACTTCCAGTGCTGCATCTTTAATGTTTAACATCTTCGTAACTCCATAATGCTTGATCTTCATTGCTTCCAAGTAAAAATGAAATGGAAAAAGTTGATTTGATAGTACAGCCAGCAAATAGATTTAATTCACTAGGATAAATGTGTTGGGTCACAAGGTAAACAGATCTGTGTGCATCACTTTTTTTGTTTACTGTACAGATATGTGGTTGATTGAAACTGAAAGATTTTCTAGAAAGGCACCCCCAGAATGTATTTACAATTGTCTAAAATGTAATTAATTGAAATAGCTTAAGAACAGCATAGTATGATGCAGAAGTTCACTTAAAAGCAACTTTGAGGAGTCTACTGAGTTAACTCTACATTTGTTGTCCTAGATCGTGTTCCTCCAAATGACCAGTAATAAGACATCCACGGTTCTGGAGCTCTTCCTTGAAGCTGCAAAGAAACATGACATTGCATTCAGGTACAGTCTTGTTTGATATGAAAATTTTAACGTTGGAATAAGTAAAACAATTTGATTAAGCAACTGTGGTGCATTAAGGACTACACCAGTGTTGCTGAATATCTCCTATTTTGTAGCAATAACTTAAATTATGTTGTTAGGCTTCATAGTAGGAGTTCTTGAATTTCTCACTGCCAGTGGTCTTCTAACCATTTTCAGGGCAACTTAAAAAACAATTTTATAGAGATGGCAAGAATATTTGTGCTGAAACATTGTCCATCTTAATACTGAAATGCTATATTGACTGCTGCTTTTGTGCACATTTAGGAGTGAGAGGGGACCAAGGAGCTGAAATGTGGACAATCAAGGCTGTGCCAGATAGTTTCATCTCAGAGAAACATATCAACAACCTAAGGAAATAGTGAGCATTTCTACCTGCTGTCATAATTGGGTTGCTTGCTTCAGTGCAAATTCAAATGTGATATGGACCAAAGGTAACTTGGTCTATCTTGTCTTTGTTTTCAGGACAGAGAGTCTATATACATGATACCAAACCTCTGGTGCAATAGCCTCCACAGGCTGACGGAGGACAGACCACTAGATCTTTTTTTTTTTTTTTTTTTTTTGCCCGGAGCCAAGATGGTTTGAGCACCTTTGCTGAGGAGTGGAACAACTCTTCACTCCACCACAAACCAACTGTGGGAAATCGGAGTCCTGTCACCTCTCCTGAGAACACTGAGGTAAGATAGAAAAGCATACCGCTCTAATATGCTGGTATTCTTTAATTTCACCATTGTTGTAAAAACTTGCTTGATCCCAGTTTGACTCATTCACAAAATGTATTTCAAAGCACTCTCCGCACTTGATGTATACATTTTTTTTTCTTTTCCTCCAGTGGGACCAGTTTCCAGATGTGGACATGGCTTGTGCTGGAGTACAGTTTGTACAAGTGGTCTCGTGTCCCGGACTGTGAAGAATTGAAGCCTTGGCCCAAGTCCTTACATCTATAATGCTTAACAATTGCAAAATAGAACCAGACAGTTTTGACTTTATTACAGTGCCGGGTAACTTTACCAGTCTACAGAGCCAGATGCTATTGCCAGTCCTCTGTCTTAATGGTATTTTAAGTGTTTTAAAAGAAATGTTTTGCAGTGCTGCTGATGTCCACACCACTACAGCCAGCAAAGATAAAGCAACATTTTCAAGTGACAGATTATCTACCTTAACTTATCAAATAGTCATAACACTGTACTATATAAACTTCTGGCTCCTAATAGCAACATAGGACATAAATCCAGATTAACAAAACAAGCAATGAAAATCTCTATTAGAGATGGTTGGTGGGCACTATGCCAAGGTACTGGAGAGGAGAATCCGACCAATAGTCGAACCTTGGATTCAGGAGGAGCAATGCGGTTTTCATCCCGGCCGCGGAACCAGCTTTATACCCTCTTCAGGGTGGTGGAGGGCTTATGGGAGTTTGCCCAACCAGTCCACGTGTTTTGTGGATCTGGAGAAGGCATTCAACCGTGTCCCTCGTGGCGCCCTGTGGGGGGTGCTCCGGGAGTACGGGGTCTGGGGCCCTTTGCTAAGGGCTGTCCGGTCCCTGTACGACTGGAGCAGGAGCTTGGTTCGCATTGCCGGCAGTAAGTCAGACTTGTTTCTGGTGCATGTTGGACTCCAGCAGGGCTGCCCTTTGTCACCGGTTCAGTTCATTACTTTTATGGACAGAATTTTGAGGTGCAGCCAGGGGCTGGAGGGATTCCGGTTTGGGGACCACAGGATCTCGCCTCTGCTTTTTGCAGATGACGTTGTCCTGTTGGCCCCATCAAACCAGGACCTCCAGCATGCACTGGGGCGGTTTGCACTAGGGTGGTTTGCAGCCGAGTGTGAAGCGGCTGGGATGAGAATCAGCACCTCCGAGTCCAAGGCCATGGTTCTCAGTCGGAAAAGGGTGGCTTGTTCCTTTCAGGTCGGTGGAGAGTTTCTGCCTCAAGTGGAGGAGTTAAAGTATCTGGGGGTCTTGTTCACGAGTGAGGGAAGGATGGAACGGGAGATTGACAGGCGGATCAGTGCAGCTTCTGCAGTAATGCGGTTGATGTACCGGTCCGTCATGGTGAAGAAGTAGCTGTAAGGCGAAGCACTCGATTTACTGGTCAATCTACATTCCGACTCTCACCTATGGTCATGACCGAAAGGGCAAGATCCCGGATACAGGCGGCCGAAATGAGCTTCCTCCGCAGGGTGGCTGGGCGCACCCTTAGAGATGGGGTGAGGAGCTCGGTCACCCGGGAGGAGCTCAGAGGAGAACCGCTGCTCCTCCACATTGAGAGGAGCCAGCCGAGGTGGAGGAAGTGTCTGGAGAGAGGGAAGTCTGGGCATCTTTGCTTAGACTGCTGCCCCCGCGACCCGGTTCCGGATAAGCGGAGGAAAATGGATGGATGGTGGGCACACACACAGTTCTTCACTGGCTTGTGTGGCTCCAAGTTCTTCACTTGATACTCAGCAGGCCTTCAAGAGCACTGTTTTTAACAGATTGTTCAGTTTATAGATTAGCTTTGCCGAATGCTACAAAAACTGAGATTCAAAATTGTGTGAAGCAAACATGGATGAGAAACCCTGTAATGGAAATTGAAAATTCTGCAAAAGCTAGTGAATAATTATCTCCCCAGGCCATAAGTTTCATAATTTGAAGGGCACAAAGACCACTTGACTGGACAGGCACTAAGGCGGATGGACAAATAAGTTGTATGTACGTGTATTTGGCTTATATGTATACAGCCTGGGCAGTAAAGTTACAAACTATGGATCAGTGGATGTGTTCACAGTACAAGTACAACATGCAAGTTTAAAGTGCATGTGCCTTTTACAAATATGCAGATATTTCCTGCACACCTTTAATATAATTTGGATAGCACATAGCATTCACCTGTGCAAATTTAGACCAAGGCATATGGAGCTCTTCACACCTTATCCAGCTGCCTAAGATCACAGGTTGGCGGAAACACAGATGCATTAAGGAGAAAACAGAGGAAAGGAGTCTAATTTCTGTTAATTATTCAGATACAATAATGTTATTCTTCTGGCCTCAGAATGACCATCACTTCTAGCACAGTGAAAACTAAAAATAAGTGTACAATGGCTGCCTATTAAGAGTTTCACTTGTTTTTCATTAAAAAACTTTTGCACAGATTTTGTCATTGTACAGTGTAGGCTAATGTTTGAATTTACATTCACTGCACATTTAACTTCTTAATAAACTAAAACATGTATACAAACAAAAAAAAAACACAATACTGCTGATTTAGCACATGCAATATTTCCAATAGCAGAGAAAGCAACTTTCAACATTATGTAAGGTTTTACAGCATTCCAGTTTTGTTACAGCTTACATATAGGGCCAAACATTATAAACCTCACAAAACTGGATATTTCATGTGCAGCACCACTAGCTTGATTGATACACACTGAGCTAAAGATAGCACACAAATGTAGCGAATGTAAGGCAACAGAAGCTGACTGCCTGTCATAAAAATGTTAGTTACCAAGCAGTGTTAGTGTGAATAGAGTCTACAGCATATACTGCCAGCTTAAATGTCACTATCATGGAGGTTTTATGAGAAGCACTCCTGACTCCAATAAGCGCACCATTCTCCTTAATACCTTTATCTACCTTAAACTGTATCACTACTTTTATCTGTGAACATGTCTCCATGGACACCTTATTTACAGCGAAGTTAATTAATAATTTCATTGACAACAAAACCTGCTAATGTTCTGAATCTGAATTGACTTTGAACAAAACATGCTTTTCATGAAGTTCACTGATGATGACTGGCAGCTTTTGGTTTGTCTTCAATCTGGTGGAGGCGCTATCTTACACAGAGGTGGAAGAAGAACCAAGGGGCAACCTTCGAATCTGAGAAATGAAGCCAACGCGGAAGTGCAAAAGCCTGCAGTTCCTCGAATGGCCGCATGAGGCTGGCTCCAGAAGGGAGTCAATCCCATGTTAAAACACCCAACTACCCAACTTCACAGCAGAAATAGGCACGTTTACAGCCCGGTACAACAAGTGGTTTTGGTTTCTATAGACATTTTCCCTTCCATGACAACTGTACAGGGGGTGACTTTTTTTTTTTAATTTACCCATTAAAATTATATTGAGACAAAAAATTATGCACAATTAAAGGAGTGGCTGGCTTCATTCAGCTCCACTCACTTGCTGCCTGTCCATTTTTGAATGACACTTGGCAGGCGGAGTGAAGCGCTATCAATATGGCGAGGCCAGACTTAAGTTTCAAAACCAATTGGTGGCATCACTGTGGGTTCATCCAGCTTTTATATATAGTAAGTGAGCAGAACTCAACAGTAAAGTAAAAGTGCAGGTTAGCCTATCTGCCTAAAAAGGTACTCCACTACAGGAAAGAAACCTGTGTGTCAAAGACCAATGTCTTCACTAGCATTACTGAACTAGAAAGTGTTGAAAACATGAATGTTTCTACAGAAAACTTACTGAAACAAGTTTTAAAGTTTAGCCTCATTGCTACAGTGAACAACACAACAAAACAAACCTGTACTGGAGGGCTAACTGACATGGAACCAATTAGTGGGCACATGCCTGGCTTGCCTGGGCTTCCCTTCAGCTTGAAGAGCTTCTTGCTAGCATAGACTCTACACTGACACTCAAAGTACCCCACCTAAACTTGTAAATATACACTTGTTCAACTGCTTTACCTCAGAATAACACCTGAACACCTACACGCCGCATACAAACGCTGCACATTACATTTTTAAATGTGATTTTTGATGTTACCCACCTGTGTGACAGAAGCGCATGTGTCGTCGTTCCTCTTGCCTTTCCGGACCTTGTTGCTTTCTGTCTGTACACAGATGCTCACAAACGCACTGAATTGTTTTCAGTATCTTTAAGTAACACTTTATTTACAGAGTTTATTCACACATTCTAAAAACGTTTTTACATGTACAAATCTTTTCTACACATATTCAAAATCTTTTTACAAGCTCAAAACCTTTGTCACCCTGTACTGAGCTCATGAAATGGTACAGTTTCCCTGTGAAATAAAAGACCAGCATTACTGATGTCACTTACTTAAAGTTTAACCTCAAACTAAAGTGGTTTATGTAATCTGGATAAATTTGTTGGCTCATTTACAACTTGTCAGACTTTGCTGTATCAATGTCTCCATGTTCCCAGACTGCAGTAATTAGTCTAGAATGTTATTGTAACTTTTAGAAATGATGGCTAAATCTACAAAAAATGATTAAACAATGTTTATTCTTTAACAGTCTTTGACAGGAAATGCTTAACACTAGTGTAGGCTTACCACATGTTTCACAGGAGATGTCTTATTACGCAGGAGACAGTTTAAGGTCATATGGATGTTATTGTACTTGTAGTCCTCCACTAATAGTTAAATAGATGTATTGACCATTGATATGGTGATGTTCTTTATGGAATCCTTCCTGTATGCCTCCAGCTTAATTGGGTCTGTTTGTCACTATAATCAATGCAGTTACAGAGACAGAGGAAAGTATTACCCTCCTGAAAAGCAGTACTACATTACATTAGGTGTGAAAGCTGAATGTGTGCAAGAGAAAT